AAAAAAAAAAGGAAAGGAATAGTCCTCAGAGAAATGTTTTGCCGATGTGAAAGTGGTGAAACAAAAAATGGCAGAAGCACTAAATGACATCAAAATTGACGAGTTCAAAAACTGTTTTGAGCAGTGGAAAAAGTTTCGCGATAGATGTATTGCATCAAATGGAGAGTACTTTGAAGATGACTAAAGTTTAAACATGTAAGAATAAATGCACAAGTTTTTAGAAATAAATTCTAGGTTTTTTTGAATCTCCTCTCATATTTTCAAATAGCTAGGAGGATGCTGAATGTTTCTAATACAAAGAAATGATATTTGAGATGTACATACTAATTATCCTAATTTAATCACTATACATTATATGTATTGAATTATCACTATGTACCATAAATAAGTACAATTATTGTCAGTTAAAAATAATCTAAAATTTTTGAGCTGGGCATGGTGGCTCATACCTGTAATCCCAGCACTTTGGGAGGCCAAGGTGGGAGGATCTCTTGAGGTCGGGTGTTCAAGACCAGCCTGGGCAACATAGTAACATCCTTTTCCTACCAAAAATAGAAAAATTAGCTGGATGTGGTGGTCCAGGCCTCTACTTCCAGCTACTCAGGAGGCTGAAATAGGACTGCTTAAGTTCAGGAGTTTGAGGCTGTGGTGATCCGTGATCATTCTGCTGCACTTTTGCCTGGGCGACAGAGTGAAACCCTGTCTCAAAAAAACCCCACAAAAACAAAAACAAAACCAATCTTTGAAATTTGTTGACAAATAAAAATTTCTCAACTTCCACTTTGAATTTCTTAGGCCTACCTAGTAACTGGTGATTAATGTTTATCAAAAGAACATATTAACCATAGTTTCGATTGGCGATAATTCAATGTTATTGTTTTGGAGATACTTTAAACTTATGCAGAATGTTTGAGACCATTCTATTGTTACAACTAAGCAATGTTTCCTCTTATCTTTTAGTGGGATATATCTGCACAACATCTCTTTTTTTTTTTTTTTGAGTTGGAGTCTCACTCTGTCACCCAGACTGGAGTGCAGTGGCTGCTCCCGGCCACTGCAGCCTCGACCTGCTGGGCTCCAGTGATCCTTCTGGCTCAGCCTTCCAAGTAGCCAGAACTACAGGTGCGCCCTACCGCACCCGGCTAATTTTTTGATTTATCGTAGAGATGAGGTCTTGCCAAGTTGCCCAGGCGGGTCTCGAACCCGCGGGCTCAGGCAATCCACTCACCTCAGCCTCCCAAGGCATGGGATTATAGGCTTAGCCACCGAGCCCGGCTTGCACAACATCTCTCTAAGTTATGACCTGAGAACTGGTTTCTGTTCTCAAATTCCTAATGAAAAGGATAACAAATCTTGGATAAAAACATTTTTTGGTGAAAAATAGATTTTATCAATGAGAAGCACATTTAAAAATGTCTCACCCAAATTTCTGTTTTATGATGATTTCTGCTTTAAAGATCCCACACCATTAAGAGTTTCCAGGTAGAAATTACATAGCCTCTCTTAACCATACAAAATCGAGATGCCAAGCACAAAGAATCTGTTTATTAATATCAGGATGGAAGTAAACACAAAAATAGTTTAGAAGGAAGCAGACCACTACTACAGGCATTAAATAAAAGATTTTTATTCTTATTTAACCATGCTGCATGTATACATACAATATCAATATATACAACTTGAACAAATATGATTTATACATAAAATACAGTGAAATTGTGGCTTTTGAAATGGATGCAACAAACTTACTGTACAGTTTTAGTTTGGGGCAGTATACAGTATTACAGTAATGCTACTATAGTTATTAATGATTTAAATTAGTCAGACTACAGTATAAGTTCAAAGGCACTAGAAACATCTACATTTTCTTCTAGTATTTTAAGAACAAAGAATCATTAAAAAGGAAAACAAATGTATATATTAAGAAATTGGGCAGACACTGGCGTGCTTAAATGTAAACTCTACCCATTCCTTAATTCACAGCCCTGTAGTAAAGAGGACTTTCCTCAAGATAAGAGTTAAGGGGAAAGATACTAAAAACAGACTCAAAAGGAACAAAACAAACAAAAGACAATTTTAAAAATACGTTACCAATGAAGAAGCACCACCCCCTCCCCCAAAGTAACTTTAAATTTCTAGTTGCAAAATAAAAAAAATAATAATAAATAAATAAAAATCCCTTTTCTCCAGAAAGTAAATGGAATAGCTTGTCAAACATGTAGCTACAAACCCTCCCCTTGATTAACCTAATACTTAAAAAGAATCTAAACAAAAATGGGGAATACTATTATATTTTAATACCCTAACTATTAGTATATATAACTAATAAGGTTTATTAAAGAACATACTATAAACCAATAACTCTACCAAAGCTCCTTTTAATAAATAAATATTACTTTTTAGATTAAAGAGAAAAAAGAATACACATTCAATGACCTATTCTCTCTATATATGTGCCACTAATTTTAAATCTGCATATTTATTTAAAATAATGAGCAAGTGTGTTCATCTATATCCTTTCACAAAATTAACACTGAAGTTACAAAATATCTCATTTGTGGACAAAGACATGAAAATATGAAGAAACCACAGAACTGCTCCGACTGGAGCTAAGTGAGTAGCTCTAAAGCCAGTGTCTGATACTTTCATATGAATATTCAGGCCTAGTTTGATTATCAAATTTGGATATTTCATAGGATGGATATTTCATGTCCATCTGGTAGAAATAGCTCTAACATAATACTCTTTAAAAAATGGTATAGTAGCCAACTTTAAGAATTTCTCAACTGACTTTGTCTAAGATTGCCTTTTTATAGATTTTTGTATTGTGATAGGGCAAGATAGGAAAAATACCTAACAAACTGGCTTAAATTTCTATAATGTTGTAAAGCCTAATTCAGAAGTTATTCCTTTCCTATTAACTAAATTGCTAAAGGCTAGAAACTTGAACTTTTAAAAAGAAGCATTGATCTTTTTTTTCTACTGGTAAAATTAAGATTTTTGTAGAGTAATTACTAACAGAATTAAACGTGCATCATCAAAAACATTTTACAATTACCAAAATATTCTGTTCACACAAAGCTTTTACAAGACATGTATTTACCTCAAGTCTTCACAGTACCTAAACAATGCCCCCATAGAGTAAAGTTCTAAACTTCTAACTATCTTACACACTACAAAGAAAATGCTGCCAGTGAAATGCAATTCTTATTACCTAGAAAATGCTCATCATACACAGGATATGGATTACTCCACTTCTGGAAATGTACTTTAAATTTATGGACACACTTTTACCATCACTTCTGTATTATACCACCTTCACTCACTCCCACTCTATACACAGCTCTGAATTATAAACCAAGATTTAACCAAACTTATTAAAATAATACTAATTTAATAAATATTCAAAATAAAGTCTCAAAATAATAAAGTCTCAAAACCTTTGCAACTAATGTATTTCAGGGCTAATTACATAATTTAAAATCTACATAACATAAATTCAGTGGTTTAGAAGTAGCATAACTTTCCATCCAAAATATTTAGTAAGCAGCTAACAAAAGAATGAATAGTTCTATTACAACATATTTTACTATAAAATAAACAAAATATTTATCTGTAGAAGAATATGGTTTAACTGGATTAATCAACAGAAGAAATTCAGGGGAAAATATTTTCTTTTAAAATATGAAAAAAAGTGTTTCAAAGGCAAAGGATTGAAAGATATTTTTCTTATTTAACTGCAATTTCTAGACATTGGAGACCCTTCTCAAATGGGAGCTATTAGAATAATTTTCACCAAAATTTAGAACTCATACAAAGAAAAGCATACAGAAGTCACACTTCAAAATTAATTTTTAAAAATGCACACACAAGCAAAGATAAGTGACCAGTACTTAACTTCTTAATTTTCTGCAACTGTGGCTCTTCTATGTTTGTACAATTCAATGTTTCAAGAGAACATGAAACCAGAACAAAGTATATTTGATTTGAACTCCAAATGGCAAAAAAAGATCAGGAAAGGTACAGATGAAACACATTTTCAATTTTTTTAAAACATGTATACTTGTAAAGACTGTTGAATTACAAAATTTTCTACAGAAGATCAATAAGAACAGTCATCTCACACTCAAAATGCAATGATTGTTAGAAAATTAGAATGTGTTTAAACAGGCCGGGTGGGTTAGTATTAAGACAGAGTCATTTCTTAGAAGTGCAGGCCAAACATTCATACATAACAGTGCAAAATAGGGAAATTTGCTCTGCTACTTTCTATGTGCAAAACAGGACATACTTTTTTTTTCTATTTTGAAATTCTGGTTATCTAAATATACAGTAGTTGTGTAAATAGCTAACAAATTTACGTATACAACTAAACTGCAACTATCTATAGTATGATCTGCTCCCCTAACTTCCCTGTACAGTACAATTGAAGAGTAGTATGATAGCTTAAACAATCACCAGTTGTACAATGTTAATGTTATATTAACTTAATAAATATAGACTAAAAGTTATTAGGCAAATTATTATTTCCAGTCTTACTCCATGATTTACAGCTTCCACTATTTGAAGTTATGGAGAAGTCTTCAGTGTTTCAATTAAAGATTCTGTCCAGTCATGGGAATATTACTAATTTTTATTGTGACTTTAAGTCTGTAACATTTATTGAAGTAAAGAGTCAATTACAGTTTCAGGTTTTGCTGAACGCTTTCTGTTTGGAGGAGAGAAAAAGAAAGCATGAATGCTTTTCTGAAAGACTGAAATGCAAGCACTTTACATTATGTAGTAGAAATTATAGGGTGACCACAGAGTCTAGAAACAGGCCAGTGTTTGACATGTTTGACCCCGCAAAGTGATCAATTAATGCCTACCTTCTCAGACTAGGGGAAAGTCACTCAAAGTAAGTGCAAGGGGATGGCACCCCACTCCATTAGGTCAGAGTAGTGAGGGATTGGGTGGATGACAGATTCTGAAACTAGACTAAACAATGTGGCCAGGCCAAGTGGGCTGCATGCTTGCCAGATCTGAATCCCTGATTATTTCTTTTGGGGTATGCTAAAGGTGTAGGTGGATTCAGAAAAATCAAAGACACATCATCTGAGACAACAACCCACCAATACATGTATAGGGACTGATGGAAAAGCAACATTATTGTACTATGTGTACTACAATTTTGCCCAGCATATTAAACTGTGTGTTTCTAATGAGAGATACCACACTGAACACATCATGTTATATAATATCAGTAAGTTATTTATTGTGCATATTTGTCCATGTTTATGGGTTTTCATGATACTACAGGCTAATTCTGGTACACAGAGATGCTGGGTTTGGCTTTCATGATGTCAGCCCATGCATTTTTTCTAAGGTTAAATTTTTAAAAGGACATATTTTAGAAAAATGAGCATTCTGGAAACTGTATTCACATAGAATTATCAAATCATTTGTTTTAGGGTCTACATAGTAAAAAATTTTAAAAAGTACTTAAACATTGAGAGATGTCATGTAAATAATCCAGATTTCTATCTTTTCCTTAGAAAAGAGAAGATCCAGCTGAGCTTGGTGGCTCAGCCTGTAAACCTACCACTTTGGGAGGCCAAGGCAGGTAGATTGCCTGAGCCCGCAGATTTGAGACCAGCCTGGACAACTTGGTGAGATCTTGTCTCTACAATAAATCAAAAAATTAGCCAGGCGTGATAGCGCGCACCTATAGTTCTGGCTACTTGGAGGGCTGAGGTGGAAGGATTGCCGGAGGCCAGCAGGTTGATGCTGGGGTGGCCCTGAGTGTGCCACTTCACTCCAGTCCGGGCGACAGAGTGAGACTCCAACTCAAAAAAAAAAAAAAGAAAAAAAGAAAGAAAAGAAAAGATCCAGAAACAGTGAGTCCTCTATTCCCACCACTGACTAGGAAGAGAATACCAGCTACTTGCTTTAGACAGAACTGCTCTCCAGTCTGCCCCAGTGTCCACTGTGGCCTATTTTCCTCCTATAATGAGGCTAAATATCTTGCCATTTATCATCACACTTACATTGGCATTTTCCTACTAACTATAGAGCTAAGAGGAAAAATCTCTCTATTAAAAGTGGAAAAGTAGGCTGGGCTCAGTGGCTCGGTCTGTAATCCCACGCTTTGGGAGGCCGAGGGGAGTGGATTGCCTGAGCCCGCAGGTTCGAGACCAGCCCAGGAAACTTGGCAAGACCTCATCTCTACAATAATTCAAAAAATTAGCCGCGCATGGTAGCGCACGCCTGTAGTTCCAGCTACTTGGAAGGCTGAGTGGGAAGGATCGCCAGAGCCCAGCAGGTCGAGGCTCCAGTCTGGGCGACAGAGTGAGACTTCAACTCAAAAAAATAAAAACAAAAATAAAGTGGAAAAGTAAAAGATACATCTAAATGGACTCATGTTTCTTAGAACTGATTTGCTTCACTCATTAGCATAATATGCATGGCTCCTGTTGGCATATGAAAGCTTTTTAACTCCTCATCTAAATACTAAAAAAATGTAAAAATCTGTACACTTTTAATATGCAACTCATACCCCCACCGAGTCCAACTATCCCAAATGTATAAGTTATGTCTATGAGACTAACAAAAAACATTAAACCAAATAACTTCATCCCACATGTAACTCAAAGAAGAGATAAAAGAAGCTTATTTTCTACCATTTCAGGAGCCCCAGAATGTTATCATCTTAAATAATCTGAACAGCACTTGATGTAGAAAAGGAAGAGAGGAAATCAGCCCAGGGCTCCCACACATATTTTGCCCTGGGTTTATGTGATGATATATGGAAGCCTCCCAATAGTTAAGACCAGTGCCCAAAGGAGAGGGAAAGATGTCTTAGAGAAGTTTTCCTTAACTGGTAACTGAGGAAATCAAAGTTCTTGAGACAACATTTATGACAGAAAAACTAACCAGCTGAATATAATATACCTCAGGAGTCTAGCCAGGCAAATTAACTAGCATCTCATTAGAAGAATTAGTGTAAGAATTAAGGAATTAAACAAGATAATAGGTGATACATTTGGAAAGAACAAAGTGAATTAAAAATAAGTTCTACGACTCAGGAGGGTTAAAGAAGTTTTGAAGATCTTAATTCGTTAGCCAGATTTTCCTTAAATTCTCACAACATGAGGGATTTGATTTTCAATATACCAGTCAAAATATTTATCGTGTTACCTAAATAATTTTAATTTCCTTTAAATTTGTCTAATTAGAATACCTCAATGCCTTCATTTCATGGGATTCAACGACATACCTTCTTCCTGTCTTTGGCCTTGCTTTCCCCTTTGAAGTTCGAGGCCTTTCTAATTTCATCAAAGACTGACGCAGACTCTCCTCAGTATAGGCAAGATACACATGGGAAAGGTCCACTTCAAAGGGCTAAGCAGAAGAAGTAAGCACAAGGCAGTCTTATAGAAAAGAGTTAAACCACACTTGAGAGAAGATTTAAAATACCAAATAAACCCCTAGAAAAAAGTCCATAGTAGACAAAGCCAAATAAATGTCTAAAGACATCTTCTAATCTCATTATCTAAAATGTATTCACCAAAGGTTGGTGAATAAGAAACCCCAACACACTATAGATTTCCTTAAACATAATGGAAAACCATTTCTGTTTTCTATAATGCTGCTCCCTTTTCTTGTTGACCTAGGACTATAACTAACTTTGAAAAGGAAATCAGACACATTCTAGTCTCTAACCATATCCCCATGACCCAGAGAGGTGGTAAAAAGAGGACTCCAAAGAGTGAAATGGCAAGCCTGCCCTCAAGACCGATGGAGACCTGTCCTAATAACAACTCAATCTTAGAGCCTTTATTCCCAAAAGATTAGCCCATTCTTCAGCAGAGTTGATTAATAGATACCAAGTTGATAACATAATTTAATGACTCTCATTTCTATAAAGAAACAATTGTAGTTTTTTAAAAAGGTATTCTTACATCTTTCTCCTTTTTATCAGGTACTGGGGTTTGCTTCCTCATGTTATTTCCTGTGTAGGCAACACATTTCTCAAAAAGAGGAAAAGGTGGGGAGAGAGAAATGTCTTAGTAATTAATACTAGGTAATGAATTAAGCAAATTACTGTAAAATATCCTGATGTTACACTAGTAAAACATGATTTAATGCTGCAGCAGAAAGGACCCTAGTGGTCACTCAGTCCCAAATAGCCCCCGACTTTGATCATTTCTACCTAGACCATGATCTGAGTGTTATAGTTAATTATTTAACTAAAAGATATAATATAGCTAATTAGAGAAACAATCTTACCTGCCCTACTTTATTCTCATCTGATTCATCCTTTGGACCACCTTTCTCCCCATTGTAGCCAGCAAATTTATAGTCCACTGGAAGCACTCTTGAAGTATTTTATGAAAGGATAAAGGTAATACTTACTAGCTGCCATTCTCCTATGTCTTCATTCCAATGGACATAGTTTTCAATCATTTCCTTTTAAAATAGTCAAAGATAGTCTATTTTTAATAATATTTAAAATATTGAAAAATTTGGACTAAAATCTTAATAATGTTAATAATATTTTTGCTTAATAATGTTAAGTGAAAAAGTGAAGTCTTAAGACATACTTTTTTTGTAAATTTAAATATACCTACATATTTCTTGGGAATGCATATAGATACAATTTAACTATATAAAAATAAAAAGCAAGAGAATGAGGAACATAGGAATCAGGATAATGGCTACCTTGGGCTGGAAGACACAAAGGGATGAAATAGGAAAGGGGAAGACATTTGGTTAGAAGCAGATTGCTGCTTTTGTTTCAGGTGATTAATTCTCTAAAAAAAAAAAAAAACTAAATAAAAGTAGGCCTTCCAGGAACAATAAGGAGAGTATAACATGAAGCTAGGATTGATTCTGTGCACCTAAGGTCCAAAGAAAAAAAATACTAAGACTTATTTTCAGATAAAATGCGATTCAAAATAGATTTTTAAAAAAATCAATATGTTAAAGTTTATTAAAATATACTGAAAAGACAGAAATCTGGTGTTAAAAATAGAGACTGAGATTTTAAAATTATACTAGTATAAAGAATCAGCATCCGCTTGTACTTTGGGAGGCCAAGACAGGAGGACTGCTTGAGCCCAGAAGTTCAAGACCAGCCTGGGCAACATAGCAGAACCTCATCTCTAAAAAATAAAAAAAAACTTAGCATGGTGGTGTGTGCCTGTAGTCCCAGCTACTTGGGAGGCTGAAGTGGAAATATCACCTGAGCCCAGGCTGGCAAGGCTACTGTAAATCACAATCATGCCACTGTACTCTAGCCTGGGCTACAAATTACAGAGTGAGACCTTGATTTAAAAAAAAAAAAAAAAAAAAAAAAAAGCTGGGCTCGGTGGCTCAGCCTGTAATCCTGCGCCTTTGGGAGGCTGAGGTGAGTAGATTGCCTGAGCCTGCGGGTTCGAGACCCGCCTGGGCAGCAAGACCTCATCTCTACAATAAATAAAAAAATTAGCCAGGCTTGGTAGCGCATGCCTGTAATTCCGGCTACTTGGAAGGCTGAGGTGGAAGGATCGCTGGAGCCCAGCAGGTTGAGGCTGCGGTGGCCGGAAGCGGCCACTGCACTCCAGTCTGGGCGACAGAGTGAGACTCCAACTCAAAAAAAAAAAAAAAAAAAAGCAGCATCCATCAGGAGATGGATGATGATGATGATTGTACAATCTGAATGTACTTAATGTTATTGAACTATATACACTTAAAAATAATTAATATGGTAAATTTCATGTCATATTTTATCACACACACATATACAAAAAGAATTAGCATCCATAAGCAGGGAGAAAAAGGTAGCACAGGGGTTCCATTTATTCTACTTATATGATAAAGGACATTGAATAAAGGAACAGGAGGACCTATACCTTGATTCTAATTGTATTTCCATGAATCTGAGTTCTTCCAAAGGGCTTAAAAATTATTTTTTAGTCGAGACCCGCCTGGACAACTTGGCGAGACCTTATCTCTACAATAAATAGGTGGCTGTAATCCCGTGCCTTTGGGAGGCTGAGGTGAGTGGATTGCCTGAGCCCGCAGGTTCTAGACTCGCCTGGGCAACTTGGTAAGACCTCATCTTTACAATAAATCAAAAATTAGCCGGGCGTGGTAGCGCGCGCCTGTAGTTCCAGCTATTTGGAAGGCTGAGGCAGAAGGATCGCCGGAGCCCAGCAGGTTGAGGCTGCGGTGGTCGGAAGCGGCCACTGCACTCCAGTCTGGGCGACAGAGTGAGACTCGAACTCAAAAAAAAAAAAAAAAATCAGCCAGGCATGGTAGCACAGGCTTGTAATTCCAGCTACTCGGAAGGCTGAGGTGGAAGGATCGCTGGAGCCTAGCAGGTCGAGGCTGCAGTGGCCAGGAGCGGCCACTGCACTCCAGTCTGGGTGACAGTGAGATTCCAACTCAAAAAAAAAATTATTTTTTAGCTCCTTAGATACTTAAACAGATAATTATGTACTAAGAAAAGTTGACTAAAGTGAAATGTGACAGTATTTAGTCAAGAAAAAGTTATGTTCAACACTTGAAGTATAAGTATTTGCCATCAACTAAATTAGAAATAATATTTCCAGCCGGGCTCGGTGGCTCAGCTTGTAATCCTTTGGGAGGCTGAGGTGAGTGGATTGCCTACGCCTGCGGGTTCGAGACCCACCTGGGCAGGCGAGAGCTCATCTCTACAATAAATCAAAAATCAGCGGGCGTGGTAGTGCGCGCCTGTAGTTCCAGCTACTTGGAAAGCTGAGCGGAGGGATTGCCGGAGCCCAGCAGGTCAAGGCTGCGGTGGCCTGGAGCGGCCACTGCACTCCAGTCTGGGCGACAGTGAGACTCCAACTCAAAAAAAACAAAATAATAATAATAATATTTCCTTATTCCTTAACCCCAGTCAAGTGACCCAACATCTAGGTTAAAGAGCTTCCTGCTTACCTGATAATCCCGAGGTATAAAGTTATCAATAATAAGCAGTTGAAGTCGAAGCTCCCGGCTAAGTTGTCGAATGTTCTCTAGTAGGCCTTCAATCTCCCTTTGATGTTCTTGTTGGAGATCAGCCATCTACCAGAAAAATACATGAAAATATTATGAACTAACAAAATTTTAAATACAAAACAGCTCCATCTCACATAGTACACTGGTCTAAGGGGCCTTGTGAGGGTTTGCCCAATTCTTTTACAAAAATAATGGACAGAGTGGGACTATCACCATGTATTCCACATTATTTAGATTGGAAAGAAACAATTTAGCCTAATAGATACAATTTAAAACTGCACATAAAGTATAAATGTTTTATTTCTTTAAAATTGTAAGCATATATTATGGTTACTTATGGATTCTAAATCAATCTTTATCAAGGAATTCCTTTTTTAAAAATTCACAACTACATTATTAGGTAATTTCTAAGATACCAACCTCTGACTTTGCAGCCATCAGCATAGTCCAAACTTTCTTTAATTTTTTGGTCTTTCCCTGCGCTTCCTCTTGCAAACTGGTATATTTTTCTTCAATATCCAAACGTTCTTGCTATGACAAAAATTAATAACTTTAGAATAATTTTATTCATTAAATCACAAATTTAATTATTTAGCAAATGATAAAAATGTTTAGCAACTGTTACCTTCAAAGCAATCTATAAATACTGCTTTAAAATTTCATTAAGATTATAAATATTTAGCTTTTCACTAGAAAAGTCAGATCTCCGGCAAAATATTAAATTAAAAACAAAAAGTCACATTACCTCTTTTTCCTCAAGTTCTCTGCGAAGTTGCTCTGCTCTTTTCCTCCTTTCTTCCAGTTCCATGTTAGATTCTTCAAGAAGTTTTTCCTGTTCTTCAGCTTTGGCCAACAAATCAACACCACCAACAATTACCTTCTTCTCCAGAGCAGACAATTTTTCCAGCAGAGACTGATGCTCTTGTCTGTTGATTAAAATAAGTATTCTCTATATTCACTGATCATCTACTATTTTACTAACACCATTTCTCAAATTTAACAAAAATTTGGATGTACAATTTCAAAATAAAAATATAATTATGTAACATTGCTACTAAATGATACCACTGTGTAGTATTAACTTATGACTTAATCTGTAACTCAAATTCACCAGAGATAGAATAATTGAAACAGATCTAATTTTTAGAAATACACTGTATACAATGGGCCCTTCCATCCCAAAACAGCTATACTGTTGACAAAAATCAAGCTTTTATTATTATTCAATTGTCCTATTTATATATATACTACAAAAATACTAAAAATTTAAATCATGAATCCAACTCAATTCAATAATACTTACTGGGCTTTAAGAAGATCTTTTTCTCGTTTCTCTAATTCAGCTCTAGCCTTGTTTCTTTCTTCTTCTTCCATGTCAAGCTTTGTTTCAAGTGCTTTTCTCTCCTCATCAATTTTTGCTTGCATTTCAACCATCTTATCTGGGGAAACTTTCTTTTTACCTATTTGAGCCATTTAATTGCCACAATCACTAAAAATGAGTCAATGTTTCAGACTTATATACATCAACCTTTAATACTGAAATGTTTACATCCCTAAATAATACAACACCAAATATCAACATTTTAAGGAAAACCAATAATGTCTTTCATTTATATTTATTATGTTCCTAGAACTTTTTAACTGATTGCTAAATTAAACTGTTGTCCAACTGTGCAATGATAACTAAGAAAAAAAGTAAGTAGAAGTTAAGCAAAATAGATGAGCTGGAAAATAATTAAAAAAAGATTAACAGGAAAACCAAATAAAATGCAAAGATCTGTATGTTCCCAAATAACATATATAAGTGTTTAAAAAAAAAAAAAAAAGCAAATGATTCTTCAGTTACTTTTTCCTGATAACCAAGTATAAAATTAAGTGGCTCCTCAAAATACCTTCCCCAAGATAACATAAATGAGTTAAAGTCACATATAGGTATCAAATATACAGATAAAAATATCGGGCAGAATTCATATCAAGTAGTTTTTAATATATTTTTCAGAGTTTTTCTAAAATTTGTATTTAATAAGATTACTTGAAAGTACTTTATTTCACAGTATACTTTTAAAGGAAAAAAATCTATACTATATAATTATATAAATTACATAATAATTAACCAAGCATTTTACAGTTGCTGATTGGCATAATATATTTTCATCCTTAATAAACTGAAATAGCTCATTATTATGTCAAACTTAGGACCCTACATTCTCTTAAGTCAAATTAAACATGCCAAGTGTCACATATAGCAGAAAAACTACCAAATAATAAAGTTAGAATGTGGCTTCCAATTGATTATTTTAATTATATTGCCTAGTATTTTATATGCAGAGAATCGGTCGGTGTTCAATAAAAGTTTACTGATGAATTTCAAAATCACAAAATTCAAATGAAAACTCAAAAAAGAAAATTAAAACTAGCTTATTAAGCAGGTTATGAAACTGAATCAAAGACAATTCATTTCTGGTGACACAATTTCTTAGAAACATACATTCCTTCAGAAAACCAATCAAACTTTTCGTAGACTTAGTCTGAGGCTCTCCTAGCTTTCCATCATCCTTAAGTTCCTTCCCAAAGAACCACAGAGGAGGGTAAATCAGAAGAGTTTATACATTGTTAATGTGTCCACCCAAAAACTAATTCCTCCTGCTAACAAGTAAAAATATTTGAAAAATAATTATGGTGGAGATATATATCTGAGCATGTTCTTTCAGGAATTGTGAGATGAAGAATCATTCATAGGCTTTAACACTCTTTAAGACAAAATTATATCAAAACCTCAACGGTTTAAAATACATTCCTCTTAATTTCTACAGAACTGTAAGTCCAAAGCAAACCTAAGGCACAAAACAAATTAAAGGAGTGAATAAAAGCACTGATCCAAATTCATGCTGTGGTGTGGTGTGATTCATTGCATTCCAAAAGTCAAGATGTAGACCTGATTCTGTTGACTTGTTTGGCACAATCAACCTGTACTGAATCAACTTCTGAATTTGCTGCTGAAAAATAACTTTTAAAAATAATTTAACTCCTATTCCCAATGAGTTCCTAGAAAGTATCTCCCATCAGTTAAACTATTTCTTAGAAGTTTGAGGGAGAAAAGTGTAAGCTTAGGTATATAGTAAGTACAAGCATTAAAATTTTTTAAACTTCTTTTCTACCTCAGAATTACAAATATTTAAAGAAAAATGGGAAATATGTTAAGACAAAAATAATAAATGTTTGAAGACATGGATGCTAATGGTATAGAAGAGATGAACTGATCTACATACAAACATTAGTATATTTAGGCTTCTAGGGTTCTAATTGTTTTGTTTATAGTTTAAAAAAAACACATGACTATGATGAATTAATATACTACACTAGTAATTAAAAAACATTCAGCTAATTTTTTTAAACTGATGCTTTTAGTAGCAAAAATTTTGTGTTCTTGTAACATTTTCAGGAAGATGACCATGCATACACAGCTAGAGTTAGTTTCAAAAGTCTAAAACTTAAGTATATTACTTTAGCCAGAATCACTCTGACAAATCATTATATTTCTTCCCAAATAATATTTTAAGCTAAATGTGACTATGCATCAAATCTTCTAACAGGCATTTTAAAATGTGACATCACTAAAAGTCACTTTTATACATATATTTTTAAAGATTTTTAAATTTTGTTAAACCAATAAAACAACAAAAAAAAGTCTTCTAACAATGCATGATAAATTTTAGCACAAAATTTCAGGCAAATTTATATTTTGAAAACTTAATGTTATAAAGAGTATTTAGTCAAGCATTTTTAATAGCTTTTGCCACATGCTTTAACCAAAATTATGAAGGTAAATGGGCAGGAGAAAGTAAGGAAGAACTTCAGGGAAGTCCTAATTGAATTAATTTCATTTTTATTACATGAGCACAAGCATGAGTAATGAGGCATTTGATTCTCGACTTTTAAAAAAAGGAGAAAAATTTTTGAATGTAAAATCATTTATATTTGTATTTCCAAATTTTGGGTCTTTATGAATTTAGACAAAAAGGGGCCAAGCACAATGGCTTATGCCTACAATCCCAGCACTTTGGGAGGCTGAGGTGGCACTTGAGCCCAGGAGTTCAAGATCAGCTTAAGCAACATAGCAAGACTTCATCTCTACAAAAAATTTTTTTAAAAAAGAATTTAGGAGAAAAGGAAGGGTTTTTTTTTTTTTTTTTTTTTTAAGCTAAAGTTGAAAGTTTTTTTTTTTTAAGCACAAAAGATGGGTACTTACCTTGTAAAAAAATTCAATTTAAAAAATTTAATGTATTATATTTCAATAACAAAATTCTCTATCGAATAAACAATTGTACCACATGGAGTGCAAATCAATCACACCAACCTGCTTGGTCTTGCAATAAGAAGTAGTAAGCAAATCGTAGACAGGAAGCATATGCACAGAGATGAGGAGGGAAAAAAAGGAAAATATTATTTCTTTTGTAAAATAAGAAAAATGTGTAATAGCATTCATTTGTAGTATAAGTATAGAAATAAATCAAATCATTATCAAAACCGAAATAGAGTCCATGTGAAAAGAAAGCATAATCAACACAATAAGAGATGTAATTTAAGCAAGAATAATATGATTTATTTAGTCTAAGATTACAACTCAGATGAATCTCAAGAGCTCACACTGAATCCCAAACTCCTGCAAATGTAAGAGTTTAACACCATGTGGTTATGCTGACTGTAGACATGGAGCAAGGAACCTGCTAAGGTCAGGGAAACAACCTAAAGGGCAAAACGAAAACTTACGCCAATTTTAAAAATTAGTAAGTTAAAAGTAACAAAATTTACACTGTCTAGTTACAAACTTCCCAACTCAACATTCCTTCTAATATAAGGATTCCTTACGGGTGTGCCCCACTTTAAGAATATGTAACAAAAAAATCGGAACCAACTAAACAAATAAATAAAATATAGCAATCTGCATTGGGGATCTAATTAACAGAAAGATTCAATGAAGAATTTTTACAGTCAGCAAGTTCTTCCAATACACTTGATTTTCCAGTTTGATTTATAAGCAATTTTTTCAGAAAAATCGTGTATTATATAAAATGAAGTACACATGTACAGTAAACTTATTCAATCTATTAGTAGATTATTAAGGGTACTTATAATAATGATTCTACAGAAGTAAATGCCAATTGATGAGTCAAGCAAGGAACACCTAAAAAAAAAGGCCATTCATAGTTTAAAAAGAAGAATACATACAAGTTACACACAGCAACCACATGCTGGGACAACCATCTCTCCACCAACACATCCACATTACAACAAAAACAAGTTATGTGCTAGGTATGCAAATAGCAATTAAAACTTCTTGGGTTAAAAGTACAACTCACTTAATAACACACTTTCATATAACTACTCTTTATCAAGGTAAGTTTTAAAATAGAAAATTAAATTACAATGCCTCCCACTCAAATATTTTCTCATATTCCACAGTTTATAATACAAAATAATACCTCTTTATGGTTTCTAAACAATTTCATATATTTTACAAATTATTCTCTGAAATTAACTGATTTTGTAACTTGCCTACGAATTGTCAATAGAGAAAAAGATTTCTAATATTCTTGGAATTCTTTCTCTAGAAAGCTAAAAGCATAAGAACAATAAGCAATTATTTTTGTCATTAGTTTTGGAAAGGGTCATTATATAGATAATGCTTTAAAAGACAGTAAGCTGCAGGCTGATACAAGCATCACCTCCCTTTTCTTCTGAAAATAAAATATAAATAGATAAATTAAATACTTTCCAACTTAATTAAAGTTTAAAAAAAAGACTTTAAGTTTGAAATAGGTCTAGATAGATCCTGCATAAACTTCTTCTTGTGATTCTGAATTATCTAATAATACCTTAGAAAATTTTAAAAAATCTATCAGATAATTTAGAAATAGGAATAAAAATCTACTTGAAATAAAATATTATGCAATTCACCTTTATGTGCTTCAAACTTTACATTTTTCTTTATTTGGGAGCTTTCAATCTTAAGCTACTGCTAAGAATAGAAACACTTACAGAGTGTAAAATGTTTGTAACAGTGTGACATGCTATAATTGGCACTGGTGTACTTCCAAATATAATTTGTACTTTTAGAAGTTTAGAATTTGATATTGCATGTCCCTGGATCTAAGCAGAATTAGAAATTTATCATGAAACTTTAAAAAGAACTGTAAGAATCTTCTTTTATACAGCTTACTAGCTCTCTTTACATTATCGCAATTGCAAAAGCATGAATCTCTCTTCCATTGTCTCAAACATAAGCTAAAGCATATGTTTTAACAATCATGGTAAACTGGAAGCAATGAAAGGGGGTGAAGGGAATCATTGCATGCTTTGTTCTACTGAGAAGTCCAACATGTATTCTTCAAGTAATGACAGGGAGCAGTGCAGCATTTCTCAAATGAAGTCCATGGGTTATGGAAAGCCAAAGCTCTGTTAGAAAATTTAAGAGCTACCACTCACTAGGTAAGAACTTATCCAGAGGTTTCTCTATGACAGAGCATGTGGAGTCTGAACTACTGCTGCTGCCACTGCCTGGAAAACAAAGAAATGAGCCCAACGGGAACCAAAGAAAGAGGAAACAAGAAAATGAACACATACACAGAGAAAATTTCAGTTCCAGGAAAAAAAAAAACAAACAAACATAAAGGACAATCAAACTTTGAAGTAAAGAACCAAAACTTTCCCTTAAAACCAGTCTTGGCAGTTTATTCAATAATCTCTATTTTACAAAGCCATGTAGGAGAATTAGAAACTATTGCTTTAAGCAACTACTGTGGGCAAATCCTACTAGTCACCTAACATAATAATTGAGAAGGTTGAAATGACAAGAATAAAAAACAAGGAAGTCATTTGGTGACAAGTCTATCTAAATACTTAGGTTGATAAATTAAAGGAACAGATATACACAATATTATAGGAATGATAAATTACTCTTCATTATAGACAGGTTGGTCTGTCTCCATTTTCGTTATTTCTCTTCCAAAGCATCAAAGTATCAAATATAGTTATTTATGTTTAAGATTTAACAGTAAAACTTTCAAAAAAAAAAGCTCACTGAAAATTTTTAAATTTCTAAGCCTGAAAGGAAGGTATATTACTATTAAATATTTTAACATATTAAACAGTGGCATTTTCCTATTTATAATTTTATTTTTAATAAATCCATTATCTACTTTGGCTTTGAAAAGAATAAGCCAGGCTCGGTGGCTCAGCCTGTAATCCCGTGCCTTTGGGAGGCTGAGGTGAGTGGATTGCCTGAGCCCGTGGGTTCAAGCCCGCCTGGGCAACTTGGCGAGACCTCACCTCTACAATAAATCAAAAAATCAGCTGGGCATGGTAGCGCATGCCTGTAATTCCAGTTACTTGGAAGGCTGAGGCAGAAATATAGCCGGAGCCCAGCAGGTCGAGGCTGCAGTGGCCGGGAGCAGCCACTGCACTCCAGTCTGGGCGACAGAGTGAGACTCCAACTCAAAAAAAAAAAAAAGGAAAAGAAAAGAATAATCTACTCTGTGAAAAACCAGGTACGGATAGAAAAAAATTTCTCTAAATCAGGCAAACATTTTCTGCAAAAGGACTAATAAGTGTTTGAGGCTTTGTAGGCCAAATGGTTTCATGAGAGAAGCCACAGATCATATGCAAACAAATGAGCCTGGCTGTTTTCATAACATTAACAAAAACAGGTGGTGGGTTGGATGTGGCCAGCAGACATTTTGCCCACTCTTGTGCTAAGTTCATTCCTTTCCTATCTTTTGAAGTTAAAGAATTTCACAGATTTTTAATTTGGGACTCTTAATCAAGCAGTGATGGGTTTATTTTTAGCAAGACCATTTAAATAAGACAAGCAAAATATGCACTAGCTTGAAAACAATGACCACATTAATGGAAGAGAGTTCTGAAATAAATAAATATTTATGGTTAAAAAGTTTGAAATGTAGGCCATTATAATATGTCCATCTCATTTGCATGTTATCTACATTCTTATCATAACACAGTCCTACTTCATACTTGGCAACAAATGCCCCAAAACAGGGTGAGAATAAGAGCACATTTTATAAAGAAAAATAATTAAATGAAACAATAGAATTATCATACAAGTTTATTATTTAAAAATCCAGTCACTTTTAAAGAATAGTCTTGTTTGAGGAAAAACTCCACGTTAATCAAATTTCCTAAAAAACTTAGGTTCCTAACACAGATGTAATTCCCTACACAAAATGAAAATGCTAAGTAAAATTTTAAAATGCTATATCCACTATTATTGAATTTTACGATTCAAAATTCTAGAAAAAGAGAACATGTATTCTGAGTCAGCTATAAATAGATAAATATAGCAGAAAAAAACACAAGTTAACCCTGTATATGGCATATATTGTCTGTTCTAATTGTTACCATAATTAAAACTGGCAAAATAAAAGGCAAGCACTCAATTGTCTTAGGAATGTGAAACCACAATTAGGTAACAATCCTAGTTAATTTCTACAAACTAGAACACTAAACAGAACTCACCCCTTCTTTTTTTCCTTTTCTCTCCATCTTCTCCAACTTCACCCTCTTCATCGTCATCCTCCTCTGACCCACTGATATCAGAGCCCGATATTTCTTCCCCTTGGACAGAAATTTAATATGAGGATTTTTATTCTATACAAAGTTATTGGCTATTTAAGAAAATCCTATATCAATTATCTTCATTAAGTTTTTGTTGACTCAAACAACAAATTTGAATACTACTTAAATGCTCCTAGACAGTATATCAGATATGTTAATCTCAGAAATAGATAAGATGTACAGAGAGACTTTATTTTTAAAGTCCCTAAGGAGAAGTTAAATTCTGACCTATTTAAAATGTCAAATCATTAGTTTAATTCTCTCTCTATATATATATATAAATATGGGGTACAGTTATTAATTCAGTCTTCTAAAAATATGATCACTTTTTTGGAACAATTTCTCCTCAGTTTCCTGTTTAAGATTTTAAGTAATTCATTCAATTTGTAATTTTCTAAGAGTCATAAAACTGTCATCTAACATATAGTGATCCTACTTTTAGGACTGTATCACAAGAAATATTTCAAAAGAAGAGGAGCTTATTTGAATAAAGATAATGCTTACTACATATTAACTTAAAGATAAACAATCCAGTAAAAAGGAATGATTAAACCAATAAGCACTATATTGTCTTTAAATTAGTTATTTTAAAATACCACTGTCTGTATAGGAAATGTCTAAGAAAACAAAGGTAACTGGGGAGAAAAAGGTAAAAATCTACACTAATCACAATCAGGTAATAATTGTACCTGTAAATAAAGAACAAAAAGAGAACACAGAGTCTTGGAAGAAAGAAATCATTAAAAAAATTTGTTCAGCCAGGTTCGGTGGCTCAGTTGTAATCCCACGCTTTGGAAGGCTGAGGTGAGGGGATTGCCTGAGCCCGCGGGTTCGAGACCCGCCTGGGCAACTTGGCGAGACCTCATTTCTACAATAAATCAAAAATTAGGCAGGCGTGGTAGCGCGCTCCTGCAGTTCCAGCTACTTGGAAGGGTGAGGCGGAAGGATCGCCAGAGCCCAGAAGGTTGAGGCTGCAGTGCAGGTCGAGGCTGCAGTGGCCGGGAGCAGCCATTGTACTCCAGTCTGGAGTGAGACTCCAACTCAAAAAAACAAAAAACAAAAAATAAAAATTGGTTCTTTAGGCTTAGAAATAATAACATATTGGTAGTAATGAGCACATTAGTACACAAATAAATACTATTCTCCTATGAAATGAACCAGGGAGCAATGGATGATTCTAAGGTTGGACAGGGAAGATATGAGATGAACCTAAACCATCTTATAGTGCCAGAAAGTAATGAAATGTTCAAAAAAACTGATGGGTATGTATTGAAAGGTACTACCCTGAAGGAGTTCCTAACAGACAAAGCTGGGAAAAGTTGAACAACAAAATAAATAATGATAGTATTATATTGTAATTCATGCTCTAAATAAGATAAATACATAAATAAATAAATGTGGATGAAGGAGCTGTTCTCTTTACAATAGAATTCTAAACACTAAACAGAAATAATGAGAATTGAAAATCACCATAAAGCAAATGCCACAGAATTATTGTTGCAAGCAAGAACCATTGACAGATACTCAGATTAGTAGGAGGAGAAGCATGATGAGAAACAGGACCTTTGGAGCCTCCAACTATCTCACACAAGATTACAAATAGAAAAATAAAATAACGAATTTACAGTGGAGAAACCTTGCAGAGTTGAAAGAACTGCAGACAAACCCAAATTAAGGAATGCTCTACAAAATATATGACCAGTATTCTTCACAAGTGTCAAGATCATGAAAGACTAAGAAACTACAGCAGACTTCAGGTTAAATGTGCTATAAGTTGTTATTAAGAAGCCATGACAAATAAATGCAATGTGTGATTCTGAATTATATCCTACCAGAAAAAAAGGCCATCAGAAGGAAAACTGGCAAAATTTGAATAAGGGCTATAGATTAGTTAATAGCTTGTATTAATGTAAATGTCCTGGCTTTGATAACTGTACTATGCTTACATAAGATGTTAACATTAGGTGAAGCTGGGTAAAAGGTAGATAGAAACTCTCCATGCTATATTTGCAAATTTTCCTTTTAAAATAAAAAGTTCAAAAATTATTGTTTTAAGGTTTTTGCTTGCTTTTTTATTATTTATATGATCAACTCCATTAAATGGATTATAAAAACAAATATCACAGGAGCACAAATAAATGAAATGTGTGAAAAAGAGTATTATCATATAATCCAGCAATTCTGTTTCTGGGTATATAACCAAACATTTTTAAAAACAAGAACTCAAATAGGTATTTGTCACCCATGTTCATAGCAGCATTACTCACAATAACCAAAAAGTCGAACCAACCCAATGTCCATTAATAGGCAAAAGGATAGCAAAATGTAGTATATTCATACAATGGAATATTATTCATACTTAAAAAGGAAAGAAATTCCAACATATGCTACAAGTTGGATCAACCTTGAAGGAATTATACTAAATGAAGCAAATCAGTCACAAAAGGACAAATGCTGTATGATTTCACTTATATGAGATACCTACAGTAGTCAAATTCAGAGACAGAAAGTAGAACAGGTTGTTGCCAGGACTAGGGAAAGGAAGAAATGGGAAAATACAAAGGATGGAATGGGGAGGCACAAAGTTTCAGTTTTGGAAGATGAAAACTGGAAATGAGTGGTTGCAGTACAATGTGAATATAATGCCACAGAACTGCAGACTTTAAAATGGTTAAAATGGAAAACTTTTATGCTGTGTCTACTTTACCGCAAATTTTTAAAAAGTAATAAAATTCTGACATATACTACAATATGGATGAACCTTGAAGACATTATGCTAAGTGAAATAAGCCAGGCACAAAACGACAAACACTGTTTGATTTTACTATGTAAGATACCTGGGACAGTCAAATTCATAGAGGCAGAAAATGGACAGTGGTTACCAGGGACTGAGGGAGAAGGGAACAGGAAGTTGTTATTTAGTACAGAGTTTCTGTTTGGGATGATGAAAAAGCTCTAGAGATGAATAGTGGTGAGAGTTGCACAATATTGTAATAAATCTAATGCCACTGAACTGTACACTTAAAAACTGTTAAAATGGTAACTTTTATATTATGTATATTTTACATGTATATGTATAAAAGTATGCACTCGATATTAACATAACTAAGAAATTTAAAAATTTTAAAACATAATGGCTATAAATACCACCTAGTGGTCACAAACACCAAATGTCACTATCTGCGTTACAGTTCATTTATTTCTTTTCCTAAATAACCTCACTCAAGTTTACTGAATCAGTACCTTTTCCAAACATTTGTGATACCAGCATCTCTAGATTTCACCTCTGATCTAATCAGTTTCCCCACAGACTACAAAGGTGCAGTCTCAAAGCCTTGTGTTTACTTGGTATGAAAAGCAGCAGTATGCCAATCAGAAAGGATCTGTTCTTGGCATAGAGGTACAGGGAGTCACTGAGCACTTAATGATTGGGAAGTTTCTCATCCTCATGAATAAGATCTTCAAACTTTCTAACATTCTAACATGATGTTAGAAAGTAGAACTGTGTGTTCAAAGTTAGGTATGAAAGGATATTTTAAAGATTGTGCAATGTATTTATTTATTGCAAACTTGGTTTACTCATGTCTATCTGATATCTTTCTTTATAACAATAGTGAGCTGATACTGATCAAAAAGACAGAACTCTGGTCACTTTCACCTAAAATACATATAGCAGAATTTGCTCTTACACAGAGACAAATACAAATTAATTATCTAACAAATGGTTATAAGAAACTTATCGAAGGTTATGGGAATAAAGATGGCAGTTTAAGTTCCATGAATTTTTTTTTTTTTTTTGAGTCAGGCTCTAACTCTGCTGCCCAGACTGAAGTGCAGTGGTATAAGCATGACTCACCACAGCCTCAACCACCTTGGCTTAGGTGATTCTTTTGTCTTACCCTCCCAAGTATGCCTGGGACTACAGGCATATACCTTTAATTTTTTTAAAAACCACAAATACAAATATACAATTTTACTTAATATGAAAATGCTAAAGTACATAAGCACCAAGTTACTTTCCAGAAATATTCTTTTTTTATTTTGAGTTGGAGTTTATTTGACTCCGTCACCAGGCTAGAGTGCAGTGGCACGCTCATGGTCACCCAGCATCAATCTGCAGGGCTCAGGTGATCCTTCCACCTCAGCCTTCCAAGTAGCCGGAACTACAGGCACGCACTACCATGCCTGGCTTATTTTTTTATTTATTATAGAGATGAGGTCTCATCAAGTTGCCCAGGTTGTTCTTGAACCCGTGGGCTCAGGCAATCCCCTCACCTTGGTCTCCCAAAGTGCTGGGATTATAGGCTTGAGCCACCATGCCCGGTGAAAAATATTCTTTTAACTATCAATGTCAGAGGCTCAAAAAAATGTGTAATAAAGGGGTTTCTATTAGAACTTAGTGGCTAAACAATATATTTTCAGCCAACATATAGATTAATATTTTGAAGCTGGTTGCGGTGACTCACGCCTACAATCCCAACACTTTGGGAAGCCCAAGGTGGGCAGAGAGTTTGAGCCCAGGAGTTCAAGATGAGCCTGGGCAAAATAGCAAAACATCATCTCTAAAAACAATTTAAAAATCAGCCACACGTGGTGGCACATGCCTGTAGTCCCAACTACTTGGGATGCTGATGTGGAAGGATCGCCTGAGCCCAGGAGGTTGAGGTTGCCATGAGCCATGATCACTGTGATCTAACTACTGCATTCCAGTCTGGACAACACAGTAAAACCCAACTCAAAAAAAAAATTAATATTCCCAGAATAAGTTACCTTCTTCAAGCTTCTTTTTCAGTTCTTCTATTTCTTTCTGAAACTGACGAAGCAAAGCATCCTTTGGATCTTCATTAATTCTAGCTTTGTTTTTAATATTCTTAGCACGGTTGGCATACCGTAATGTGCTGATAGTTTCATCATAATTGTAATCTGCTGGCCCAATATTTGCACACTGTTGGATTAGAAATACGAAACAAATCATTTTACACTTGAAATAGTTAAAATTAATACTGTCATTACAAATATATCAAAAAAATATACAAATACATCAAAAAATGTTAAAGCACATATGCCCCCAGGCCTTCTTGAAAAAGAGAATATCAATGAGAGGGGTTTCCAAACAACACTGTCCAACTATTATGGGCTATTACACATGGGTATGTTACGAAAAGGACAACCATAAACCAAAAAAAGTAAAATAGTCATTAGTTTTAAAAATGTTATACATATCAACTATTGGCATTAACTGGAATCTTAAATTTGTTTGATGTTAACTATACTACAAATTAAGTCTTACCATCATGGTTTTTGAATTTCCTCCTAAGGAATCCTGAAGCAGACGGGTCAATTTAGAGTTACGATAAGGCACATGAGTGCTTTTTCCATCAACCAAGGCAGAAATTACATTACCAAGAGTAGAAAGTGAAAGATTAATTTTTGTAGCTTCCTTTAGGCGCTGTCCAGTAGCTCCAGTTTTTGCTTGTCTTTCTGAACCCTAGCAACAAACAGATGATGGTAAAGCTAAAATAAACAAAAAAAATTCTTCCCAACGTCTTCAAAAAAGGTAAATTTAACAGTAAAAAATATTATATGAACCTGGAATTCACTTCAAAACAATACAGGGAGGGAAGAAGTGGGTAAGAATTTATGAAACAAGAGTAGCCATGAGCTTATAATATTGAAGTAGGGTGATGGGTACATGAGGGATCATTATACTACTTATCTATTTTCATACACATTTAAAATATTCCTTAATAAATATATTAAGGAATATAATAGGTTTGTTTTTTTTTACATATAAGTAATGATTTAAAAATCATATGTAAATCATACCTTTCACTTTAATTTTTATTCATTTATAAAACAAACAGATCACAAAAAAGAGTCAGTCCTTAAGAAGTATCCTATTACTTACAGCAAGATCTACAAGATGGAGCTTGCCCATCCTGACATGCATGTTACCATCTACGCCTTTTTCACTGCATTCTATAGTAATTGTAAAGATGGCATGGGAACGGGAACTATGTTCGTTCATATTAGTTGCACCAACTGAACCTTAAATAAGGGAAAGAAACTCTTAAAAAGTGTAACAAAGAGTGGCTTTAAAAATAATTAAATATCCAGAACAGTTTAAATTTCATCACAATCAAAAGCTAGAGAGCATGGTTAAACCATAAAGACATAAATGTGAGCTGGGCTCAGTGGCTCAGCCTGTAGTCCCACGCTTTGGGAGGCTGAGGTGAGTCTATCTGAGTCTACCTGAGTCCGCGGGTTTGAGACCTGCCTGGGCAACTTGGCAAGACCTCATTTCTACAATAAATAAAAAAAAATCAGCCGGGCATGGTAGCGCATGCTTGTAATTCTGGCTACTCAGAAGGTTGAAGTGGAAGGATCCCCGGAGCCCAGCAGGTCGAGGCTGCAGTGTCTGGGAGCGGCCACTGCACTCCTGTCTGGGCAACAGAGTGAGACTCCAACTCAAAAAAAAAAAAAAAGACATAAATGTGTATTTAGCTATTATATGAAATCGTTTTTATACTTTATGTTAATAACAAAAGAAGTTGTGATATTTCAACTATATAATTTTAGCACAAAATACTTAATTTCAATCCCAAGTATTATATAAAAAAATTCATACCAAAAAAAGCCACATATTAAATAATTGAAAAAGTTATTGCTAATTCACCTGTCTCTAAAAAGAATTTTGTTCTCGGCATCTAAACCACAGAAATACTTGAACATATGCAATATACCAGAAACAACCAGTAGGATAATGACTAATCAATTATGGAATAGCCACATTATAAATTATTAAGCAGTCATTTTTTTAAAAAAGATAGATCTGTATCTAATGATATGGAAAGATGCCCATAACATATGAATTGGGAAAAAAAACAAGTTAGAAAGGAATAAATAGTATGATCCCATTTCTGTAAAACAAAACCATCCGTTCAAAAGATACTAAATATTTGCAGGTATATAAATATTTACATGAATATATTGTGTAAACAAAGAAAAATAGGTTTGTTTGTTTTTTTTACAATAGACATGTATTAGTTTTTTCTTAAACTTCAAAGTATTTTAAAAGCATTGGCAATTTTAACCAATGCCAAAATTATCTTCCTACCATATGTTCAGACAGAACTTCTTAATGCAAGCTTTGATATTAGAAGTTAGACATTTAAAAGATGACTATCTTAGAAGTTAGATAACTAAAATATAAATTACACTAATGAAAAGTAAAGCCTGATGAAAAAAGATAAATAAAAAATTAGTGAAAGAAAACACAAGGACCCGTGAATCCATGATATATTTTTCTACTTTAAATCAAATTATGAGCTGGGCTCGGTGGCTCAGCCTGCAATCCTGAGCCTTTGGGAGGCTGAGGTGAGTGGATTGCCTGAGCCCGCGGGTTCAAGACCTGCCTGGGCAACTTGGCGAGACCTCATCTCTACAATAAATCAAAAATTAGCCAGGCGTGGTAGTGCGCGCCTGTAGTTCCAGCTACTTGGAAGGGTGAGGCGGAAGGATCGTCAGAGCCCAGCAGGTCAAGGCTGCGGTGGCCAGGAGTGGCCACTGCACTCCAGTCTGGGCAACAGAGTGAGACTCCAACTCAAAAAATACATAAATAAATAAATAAAATTATGATTTTTCCTAAAAATATAAAGAGCTATTAAGTTTGACACCATTTCAAATCATGTGATTAGTAGGAACACACATACATGTTTCTACAGAATATTAGGTCTTATTTTATCTTCCATTTTTTTCCAATTAACATTATCACCTATGTGTATTTCCATGTTAAAACAACTTGAAAATTTTACTAAAATTGATTTTATTATTCCCTTACTATAAAACATTTGGGACTGTTTCCTATTTTTAGGCCCTTGTAAGCGATACTAATGTGAGCATCTTTAAATAGATCCTATTTGTCTCTTTAGGGCTATTTCCACAGAATATATTTTGCAAACTGGAAAGACCAGGTCAAAGGATAGGAGGTAGGAATAGCTTATAGCTATGTGATTATCAAGTCACACTGTAGCAGTGTTTTTGCATTTTAGAATGGGAAAGAACATATAATTTGAAAAAAGATCACATTAAATATTTTAATACCATTGTTTTTACAATATAAGTAAAACATGCTATTTATGATTTTGATTTTCTATATTTCTAGGTACAAAAATAAAGCACTACAACAGCTATATTGCTAAAAGTTACCTACATTGAACTTTACATTCCCAAGGACAGAATAGTTAATAGCAATCAAGTAGACTCAATACTCCAACCTGCTGACATATCACATAATGAAAACAAAAACAAAAATAAAAAAATACCTTCACTGCTTTATTTTTGGTCACAATATTTATTAATTTTGAAATAAGAAAATTAAACGCTTATATTTTTCAAGGAGGTAGGAATAATTTATCCTATAAATATGCCTGCATGTATATAAACTCATACATAAATGTATATAAAAGAATATCTACCGGGTACAGTGGCTCACGCCTATAGTTCCAGCACTTTGGGAGGCTGAAGTGAGAGGATTGCCTGAACTCATTGGTTCCAGACCAGCCTAGGCAACTTGGCAAGATCTCATCTCTACAATAAATTAAAAAATTAGCCGAGCTTGGTGGCATGTGCCTGTAGTTCCAGCAACTTGGAAGGCTGAGGCGGAAAGATCACCTGAGCCCAGCAGGTGGAGGCTGTAGTGGCTATAAGCACGCCACTGCACTCCAGCTTGGGCAACAGAGTGAGACTCCAACTCAAAAAAAAAAAAAAAAAAGAATATTTATTGCAGTACTGTATTGCTCATAATAGAAAGACTGAAAACAACCCAAAAGTCTATCAATAACAGATTGAGTAAATAAATTATGGTACAATCAAACAATGAAATATTATAGTTATTTTAAAATATTTATCTGCTGTATGTGTTAATGTGAAATGATAAGGTAATATTATTAAGTGAATAAAATATGCTCTTATCTGGCTGAAAAAGAACGAGGGACTCTCTCTCTAAAAGCATACTCACAGCCGGGCTCGGTGGCTCAACCTCTAATCCTGCGCCTTTGGGAGGCTGAGGTGAGTGGATTGACTCAGCCCGCGGGTTCGAGACCCGCGTGGGCAGCGAGGCCTCATCTCTACGATAAGTCAAAAAATCAGCCGGGCGTGGTAGCGCATGCCTGTAATTCCGGCTACTTGGAAGGCTGAGGCGGAAGGATCGCTGGAGCCCAGCAGGTCGAGGCTGCGGTGGCCGCTCCAGCCACTGCACTCCAGTCTGGCGACAGAGTGAGACTCTGATTCAAAAAAAGAACAAAAAAAGCCAAAAAAAACCATTCCCACACATATATGCTTGTGCACACATAGACTATATCAGGAAGGGCACATGAGAAAATAGAAGAGGCTGCCCCTGGAATGGGAACTAGGTGACCAACAGGCAAGGGTAGAAGGGAGACTTGTTTTTCAAGGTACACTTTTGTGCCTTCTGAATTCTGTACCAGGAATATGGATGACATATTCAAAAAGATTATTTAAAAAAGGATTATTGTTTAAATTTCATGTCTTTAGAGTAGCAGCTTTTATTGTCACATTTCCCCACTTTTCCTCTTGATAGTTATATAATTATATGTTCCATATGATAACATTTTTATTTTTATGTTTGAACTCTACCTGGAAATTTGTACTAAGTGTTTAATTATTAGACTTGATTTATTTATTAATTTAAAATATTTCCACCTCTGCTATTTTAGGTCTTCACATCCTTTTATCTTTGTTTCATTTTATTTCTTTCACTAGAATTTTGTACTTTTCCTTGAACAAATCTCGCATAGCAAGTTAAATTGATTCTCAGGTAGTTAAGGAGGGGTTTTGGTCACTTCTGTGAATGAAATCTTCTTAAAAATGTTTTCAATTAAGCAAACAATATGTCAACATATTTCTTTTCTTTTCTTTTTTTCTTTTTTTTGAGTTGGAGTCTCACTCAGTCACCCAGACTGGAGTACAGTGGCTGCTCCCAGCCACCACAGCCTCGAACTGCTGGGCTCCGGTGATCCTTCCACCTCAGCCTTCCAAGTAACCAGAATTACAGGCATGCGCTACCACATCCAGCTGATTTTTTGATTTATTGTAGAGATTAAGTCTCGCTGCCCAGGCGGGTCTCGAACCCGTGGGCTCAGGCAATCCACTCACCTCAGCCTCCCAAAGGCGCAGGATTACAGGCTGAGCCACCGAGCCCGGCTTGTCAACATATTTCTAGTGTAAAAAATAAAGACATACAGAAAGCATAAAGTGAAAGCTCCCAGTATCTCTTTCTCTAATCTTATTTCTCCTTCCCTAAAGATAACCACAATTATCTCTGCCCTTTAATTTTGTATTTAAATACATACACATAAACACACTCGCACACAATGCCCAAATAAATATTTGATGGTTTTTTTTTTTTTTTTTTACATCTATGTAAATAGGATGATGCAGTACACACACTGTTCTGTCATTTGCTTTTAATTTTTTTTCCATTTACCAATAAATTTTGAAAACTTTCCAGGTCTTTATGTGTAGATTTAACTCACTGTTTTTAACAGCTTGGTTATAGTCCATAGTATATTTGTATCATAATTTATGTAATCAGTTATTCTGTTGATTGTCAGATTGTTTATATCTAAAAATATATTTCGAGAATATATGTCTAAAATTAGAAATACTGGGTCAACAGAAATGTATTGTAAATGTCAACAGATACTGCTAACACTGCCCTTCAAAAAGACTGTACCAATTATATATATTCCCATGCTCAATGCCCATTTCATTAAAGTCTCACCAACCTGGATATTCTTCATGCAATTTAATGGGTGAAATAGCTCTCACTTTTGTTTTAATTTGCATTTTCCTGATTACTTGTGAAGTCAAACATTCTTTCATATGCTCAGTGCTGTGTACAGTTCTTCTGTAAATAACATACTCATACACATCTTTTGCTGATTTTTCTGTTAAGAGTTGGTTTTTATTTTTCCTTTTTCTTTCTACTACTTGGTTTATACAAATGCAATTGATTTTTAAAATTTTTTGTCTAATTTCTTTGGGTTTGACAGATCTATAATCAAGTTATCAAAACCCAAACAATTTTTTTTTCCTATTTCTTATATAATCTCTAATTTCTAACTGCTATTAGCAGCATCACTAGTATTAGTCCTAGGGCATCTGTATAATATTGCTGAAGCTTCCTATTAAAAGCTTGAAACAATATACTCTGGTTTCTCTTCAGACCATATACATCTTTCACCTTTTAAAAACTTGAAATAATCATTAAAAAGAATACAATTTTTGGCCAGGTGCAGTGGCTCATGCCTATAATTCTAGCACTCTGGGAGGCTGAAGTAGGAGGACTGCTTGAGCCCAGGAGTTTAAGACTAGCCAAGGCAACATAGCAAGATCTCATCTCTACAAAAAAAAGTAAAATAAAAATAGGATCTCACTCTGTCGCCCAGGCATGGTGGCACTCACCTGTAGTCCCAGCTGAGGTGGAAGCATTGCCTAAGCCCAGAAGGTCTAGGTTGCGGTGAGCCATGATCGTGCCAGTGCACACCAGCCTGGGCGACTGAGTGAGATCCTGACCAAGAAATATATATATACACAATTTTTAAAATTTAATTTTGTTTTGCTTTTCTTGTCAACAAAAGGGAGATAGTATAGTGCCTCGCTAATGCAGACTACTGGACTACTAGGGTTTTTCTTCTCTCTCTCTCTCTCTCTCTCTTTTTACAGAAGAGGGGATTACTACATTGCCAAAGTTAGTCTCAAACTCCTGGCCTCAAGCGATCCTCCTGCCTTAGCCTCCCAAAGTGCTAGGATTATAGATGTGAGTCACCACACCTAACCTTGAGTCTCTTTTAATCTGTAATCTCCCCACCTTTCTTTCCCCCCCTTACAATGTATTTGTTGAAAAAAGACTGGAGTTTTTTTTTGCTGGGATTACAAGTGTGAGCCAACACACCCAGCTATAGCCTAGGTATATTTAACACTCACTCTGTCATTTGGTAGGCATATTACTTAGATGAGTTACTTATATTCTCAGTTTCTTCATCCATAAAGTAGAAATTTAGTATCTTCATAATCTACTGTGAGGATTAAGAGATCATCATATAAAGCACTTAGCACAAGCTAAGTGGGCTTAGTAAGCCCATTTACTAAGTGCTCAATAAATGTTACCAATATTATTATAACAAGAGACAGTCATACAGAATTTCAAAGATTAGCACTACTAAACAAAAAGAAAATTTTGGTCAGCATGGAAAATGATCTGTGATAGCTTTCATTCTTATATGTTCTCTACATAGTGAATAATCAAAGGAGAAGAGTTTGAAACCTAAAAATCCAATCTCTACAGGGCTGTCATACTTGTTTCTAAACCAGCCTACTCAACACGTAGGTGTTTAATCACAATTATGCACAACACTTACGATTTTTGTGGCCTAGTGTCATAATCCTATCCATATCATCAGCATTATTTACCACGTAAGCTGATAAATCTTTGATATAAACTCCCACATCAGGTCTTTCTTTAACCTGAAAAAAAACAAATCCATAAGTCTTTAAACTTATATCAATAATTCTTCCACAATTATTTACTGAGCATCTACTATCTGTTTGACACTCTACTAGATAGGAGGCAATACAGTGATGAACAAGATACACAATGTCCTTACACTAATAGAGAGAATCTATAGGAAGAACATACAAATGAATAATTACATTCCTAAATTATTTTATTTCAACTGTGATGATGATATGAAGAAAAAATAAAGGACAGTATGGGGTATATTACAGAACATTAAGCTAGTGAAGAGGACAGGATAAGTTTTCCCAAAATGATATTTAAGCTAAAATTTGAAGAAATAGGAGGTAGATAGTCTGGATTGGGGTAGGAGAAAAAGAATATATGTAAAGATCCTGCGATGAGAAAAATCTAGGCACTTACAAAAAACAAACAAAAAACGACTATGCAGCTGGGGAGAGCAGGAAGTAGGGAGAAATAGGTGAGATATATGCTTATATAGGTAGGCAAAAACAAGTTTAAAAATAGTTACTAGTCTTCATGATAATAGTAATTTGGAGGATTTCAAGTAGCTGAGTTAAATAACCAGATCTATGGTATTCATGTAAAAATATTATCTTTCTGTGAATTACATTGTGAGACTTTTTTTTACTAAATTTTATAATGTATTTAGGATAGATTTACCTAAAACACAGGTGGTATCACATAAAATTCACTTTGGAAAGTCCAAGGAGTTGCCTCCACAAGTCAACAAAACAAAGTAAAATTGTGGCAGAGGCCTGTGGGCTGCCAATGGTGAAAGCGATTTTATCAGGTAGTAAAATTACACAGACGCAAAAGACAAACAAAAATTTGAAAAACAATTCCAAGGACAAAACTTTTAAGAGTAAATACTCTACATTCTAGAAGGCGATTTTCAATCCAATTGGGGTTTGTGTGTGCGTCTTTTATAACAATTTATAATATATAGTTATTTACACATTAGGAAAAATTATCCTTTATCTGCCATGGGATATAAATTAAGCCCTAATATTATTAGTAGTAAAAGGAATACGATGGTCTCTATAAACCAGTGGGTTTCAGATTGTGCCTGAAAAGCCCTTGGGTAAAGGATGGTGGCACTGAGAGGGCTACTGTGGTAGTCTGGGGGTCTTCAGGCCCAGATAAGTTCTAAAGAGAGCTTCATTTTCATGAATTTTACCCATTGGGCTTCCACATAAGATTTGGCTTGATTAAAGTGTTTAAATGCTTTACACCTTTTAAAAAGTTTGGAAATTGTTGGTTTATATCAATGCTTCTCAAAAAAACCTGTGATAAAGGACAAGGTGTATATTGCATATTTTTGATCTGATAGTTTTGTAAAATACAAAAATCACATACTTGGATACCATGGCAATGTCAAATTACTATGAAAGTTTTTAAGCAGCTACTCTCACTTTTTGTGTTCATCTCACTACAGGCTGGAAGCAAACATTCTTCAAACTGACATCGGTCTGTGAACTGCTAGTCTTTATGAACTCTAAGGTCTTTTCACAATATGATATTCATTTAAAAATCAATTAATAGGCAGGGCACAGTAGCTCACACTTGCTATCCCAGCACTTTGGGAGCCGGAGGTGAGAGGATTTCTCGAGCCCAGGGTTTCAAGACCAGTTTGGGCAACATGGAGAGACCTCGTCTCTACAATAAATAAATAAAAAATTAGCCAAGTGTGGTAGTGTGCACCTGCAGTTTCAGCTACATGGAAAGCTGAGGTGGAAAGATTGCCTAAATTCAACAGGTAGAGGTTTTAGTAGCTATGAACATGCCACTGCACTGTAGCCTGGATGACAGAGTAAGACTCTGACTCAAAACAAAAAAAGATCAATTAATAAGTGTAGATAACTGATTTGATAGGAAATGTAAAGACATAAAATATGATCCCAAATTTGCGAAAATTTAAAAACTGGATATAATGCTACCCCAGAAAATTCATCATAAAAAAACACAGGAGTGTAATTTCTATAAAAACAGTTTATAACAAGGAATCTCAATTAGGGTAGTTACTTCCCTGCCCCAGAATGTTTTAGAAATTTGTGGGTGAGTTTCTGGTTCACTTGAGGACACTATTGGTATTTACAGGCAGGGACCAGGGATACTAAACATACTGAAATGAGTGGGATGGTCCCAGTGAAGAACTGTCCCATTCCATTTTAAATGTTCTACCAGATAGTCACATAGTCAAAAAACTATTTGAGTCTAAAATTGTCAGGGCGGGGCGGGGGGGGGGACACATAACATCAATAAGAGTACCTGATCTCAAACCAGAAGTGGGGAGTAAGGGAGGTCCAAACTTTACCTGTACGGTGACCATTTATATGACTAGTCCTGAATTGTATCCCACATCTTTAAAAATTAAAAATAAATAAATAAATAAATTTAAACCAAAAATAGTAATAATTATCTGGGTCTAGATCCAGTTATATCTGGATCTATACATAATTTTACTTTGCATATAAAGTGCTTTTCCATGGCAATAATAGTAATAGCAATAATATAATATAGGAATACAGGAAAACTGAGGAAAGAATTGTACTTTATTTTTCATAGAACTCTACCAAGAGCTAGTCTCTATTTTAAAAGACCGTGTCATTGACAATAATAGCAATCAAAGTGTTAAGCTCACCAATACAAAATATCTGTTAACACTTTGCATTTGTAACTATTGCAGTTACAGTGATTCTATATGCTTCTGACTATTTCATCATGTCATTGAGTATAGTCACATCTAATCATTTACATATTGAAATGCTAGCATTTTAATTTTTGATTACTTCTATATTACAGTAGGACAATATACTGATTTTTAAAAATTGTGTATACAAGTGGATTTTATCACTTACAAATTTTATTTCAGGACAGTCAAGAAAGCATCACAAGTGACATGTTATGAAAAAGGGGCATTGGTCTAATAAGGTTAAGAACCATTGACAAAAACATTCTTGAGAATAAATCCAATATATGATTACTGGTAAAAAAAAAAAAAATGGAAATATTCTTCCCAGATGGTCTTTTTCTCTAGAATTTGCATGATAAAACAATAAACTTTTAGGAAATAAAGCACGGAATTAATAAAGTTATCCATCAAAATGAAAGTTGACAACTAGCAGCAAAGAAAGTTGTTTCTACATTTGCTATATACATGTTATAATTACAAATTAAGAATTCATTAAGATCCAACAAGCATAAACAATCCAAATGCTGCAATATACTGTTCCAAAAACTCATTTTATATCATAAACGTAAAAATAAAAAAAGTTAATATTTGTTGATTATTTTGTGCCAGGCATTGATTTAAATAATCTGCTTTAATTTGTTAATGTTTAAAATAATCCTGTGAAGGAACACATGATTATTATTTCCATTTTCATATGACAAAAACAGGCTCACAGAGATCAAGTAACTTGCTCGAGATAAGAGCCAGAATTCAAGCTAAGATGGTAGGAACCAGAAACCACCTTCTTAATTCTAGATGACAGTCATTCACTTGACATGTGACTTTGAGCAAGTCATGAAACCCCTCTAAACTTCAGTTTCCGCATAAGTAAAATTGAACCGCTGGGAAGACTAAGTGGAATAAAGTGTGTTACTACTACCACAACCACCAGTTACTGCACTGAATGCCTACACCACATTGTAAGAGCTCAGTAATAGTGGCTACTGTTATTCTACATTCTATCCTACTGTTATTCTACATACATTATTCTCTTCTAATTATTTTACTAGCAATGCAATCCAACCAAAATTCCAATATTAACATTTTAATATTTTCTTGTTACATGTCTTGTATCTTAAAATATTAAAATATTTGGCAACATCTATTAAATTTACCATTTACCACCTGACTCAGCAATCCTGCATCAGTACTTTATCTCTAGATATGTCTGCATATGTATGAAATTATATATGTACAAGGTTATTTAAAATATTAAAAGTACCTTTTATTTTAAGAAGACATTAATTTAATAGGCATTCTATTGTTTTGGATAGTACTCCTCCAATTTCAATTATCCTTACCTCTAATCTCTGTGTCTGATCCTTGCCCAAAAGATCACGAACTTCTTCATTATATATTTCCAAATAAGACACTCGAACCAAAAATCTATAAATAAAACATCATTTTTAAAATATAAGAGCCAGTGAAATATTTATGACTGGTTTTAAAACATTTGTAAAATTTACACCAATATGCCTTTTGTGTTTGTATTTCTCAATGCTAGAAAATAAAATAATTATCTTTTACCTTGTATCACCCTCTGCTTTTGCAATATGACCAAATATGTGAGCAAATGAATTAGGAATTATTCCTCTAAGTTCAGGAACAGCTCGAACACCTTCCATGGTAAAAGTTTTGCCTGTTCCGGTTTGCCCATATGCAAAAATTGTCCCTGAAAATGATGAAGAGAATAAGTTACTTTGCAGAATCTGCTGCTACAGAATAATGTCCTTAAAATTAAGTCCTTTGACACTGTGAGGTAATTTCTCCTCTGGATTCAAAATATAATCTAGTACAAGTTTCATTATGCAGCTACAAAGAAGGACAAAATTATGGACTTTGCAGTAACCTGGATGGATTTAGAGTCCATCATACTCAGCGATCTATCACAGAAACAAATAATTGAGTACCACATGTTCTCATTCATAAGTGGACCCTGAACATTTATCATACTACATGAAAGGGATTGGCAGTAGTGGGTCACTGCCAGGGGAAGGAGGGAGGAGGCATAACACTAATAAGGGTAGCTGATCCCAAACCAGGCCAAGTGAGGACCAATGGGAGGCCCAAACTTTACCTATATGATGACAACTTATGTATCTAGCTCATACCTTTAAAATAAAAAACAATAGTAAATGTATTCTAGTACAAATTTCACCTTTATTATCAATGTGTACTGTGCCACATGCATGTGAAAGCGTCAGTCAATGAGATACTCCTAATTATTAATAAAGTATCCTAAGCTCTAAATGCAAAAAATCTTACTTTATAGCTAATTATAAAAAGTTTCCTATAATGTGCATATTAATTTTGAATATTCAGTTGGAGAAGGTAGTATAAGTACAGCAAAAGAATACAGGCTACAGAAGAAAGACTGTGTCTGAATCCATATCTGCCACTTTTTAGCCACTTGACCTTGGACAAGTTATCTACCCAGAGACTGTCTCCTCAATGGTAAGTAACATGGGGATAAAAATTATGACTCTACATTGATAGTAAGAAACAAATGAAACAATTTACTTCAAGTGACCAACACAATGCCTGGTAGAGTGTACCAGTAAATGATAGCTTTTTTTCTTCTTAGTCCTAAAATAAGTGCATTACTTTTAAAAATTGTTTTAAAATAACAGCTGTAAGAAACAAGGAAAGTTAACAAAAAAAGATGACAGTACAATTATTATGGGTAATTACAGATACAATTTAAACTTTCTAAATATCTAAATTCATTCATTAAACAAATACTTACCACACATCTGAGTCTGGCATTGTCCTAGGCACTACAGACAGTGACAAACAAGACAAACACAATCCTTAATCTTATGGCATGTATAATCTTGAGGAGGAGATATTAGTGGAACAATTATAAGCATGAGTACTAAGAATGAGAAACACAGAGTTCTAGATGGGAGTATGGGACAGAAATTAGGCAGGGGAATTGCAGTGGGAGGAAGGGGGAGGAGGTTGGAAGGCTTTCCAGAAAAGGTGAGATTTAGATCTTAAATACAAATAGGAATCAGATAGGAAAAGAGTGGATGGCAAATGAACCAGAAAGGAAGAAGCAGGAATAGAAAAGGAAGGTGGATGCAAATAGAACGAGAGAAATTGGCAGTTCTCTAATAGTGCAGGGTCATAAAGACCATATTAAAGTTTTTAGACCGTATCCTAAAAACAAAGTAAAGCCAAAGGATGATTTTTTTCAGTCAGAGAAGTGATATCATGATTACTGTGGCTACGTTGTAGACAAAGAATTTAAAGAAAGCAAGGGTAGATGTGGAGAAAAGAGAGGGCTGGAGGAGTTGGCCAGGACACAGTGTAGAATGAGAACATAGCCCAGGATGTGATAGCATATATGAAAAAGGTTCCTTAACTATCACTACTCTATTCAGTTAACCTCAACTTTTCTCAGACTTTTTAGTGAAAGTAAATCAATCATACCATACTTCTCAGACTTTTCTGTGAAAATAAATTAATCATACCAGAAACCATTTTTTACACATGGGAATAAAAAAGTCTCAATTTTTTCAAACTGACGAAATATTTCAAACTCTGTCATTAGGAATATAACATATTGCATTCAAAGGAGCTGAAAATATCATGAACTCATAGACTACATTTCAGAATAGATGCACTGAATTATTAAACAAAAAATAAGCTTTATAAGGGCAGTAGCTACAATTTACTACTCATTTGCTATGTGGTAAGCCACGTACTTTACATGCAATTTTTTTTTGTTTTTGTTTAGAGACAGGGTCTCACTCTGCTGCCCAGTCTGGAGTGCAGGGGTATAATCATAATTCACTCCAGCCTTGAACTCCTGGGCTCAAGTGATCCTCCTGCCTCAGTCTCCCAAATAGCTGGGTCCCAGTAGGACTACAGTTATGTGCCACCACGACTGACTAATTTTAAATTCTTATTTAATTTGCACCCCAATCCTAAGAGACAGGCACTATTTGTATTTCCATAGTTTATTTAGAAACACAGAGGATTTGCAAGGTTAAGAAACTTGATCAATGTCATGCATATTAGGATGCTTGAAATTATCCCACAGCTCACTGATGCTCTGTTCTGTTTTTGTCTTGGCTATTTTCTCTCTGGATTGTTTCTATTGGTATGCTTTCAAGTTTACTAATATTTTCTTTCCTTCATGTAGATCTATATTTCCATCCAATATTTTCTTCTGTCTGAAAAATTTTCTTTAACATTTTTATAGTGCAGGTCTACCAATAATGAGTTCTTTCAGCTTTTGTAGTCTAAAAAACACACTTATTTTACTCTTGTTTTTGAAAAATATTTTCACTGAATATAGGATTCTAGGTTGATAAGTTTCTTTCAGTACTTTAAAGATATTACACTACTGTCTTCTCATTTGCATTGTTTCTGATCAGAAATCTGTTTTCATCTGTATCTTTATTCTTTTATACATGTTTTTCTTTCCCTGGTTGTTTTTCAAGATTTTCTTATTTATCATGGGTTTTGTTCAGTTTGATTATGATGTATCTTGGTGTATTTTTCTTCATGTCTCTTGTGTTTACAGTTCATTAAGCTTCTTGGATTTGTAGTTTTCAACAAATTTGGAAAAATTTCATCCATTATTTATCTTCAAATATTTTTTCTGTCCCCAAAGTATGTTTCAGAGTAAAGAATATTACCAGGGACAACGAGAGTAATTTCATAATGAAAAAGAAGTTAGTTAAAAAGACATAAAAGTCTTAAACATTTATGCAACTACTCACAGGTTTAAAAAAAACACACAAAGCAAAAAACTGGTAGAATGAAAAGGAATGGACAAAATACAAAATATAGTCAGAGAATTCAATATTCCTTTTTCAATACTGAATGGACCAAGGAGACAGAAAATAAATAAGGACTTAAAAGATCTGAATAACACTATCAAGCAAATTGACCTAAAGGACATTTATAGAAAACTCAACAACAGCAGAACAGTCATCCTTTTCAAGCACACACAAAACATTTAATAATAAACTATATTCTGGGCCATAAAGTCTCAATAAATTTAAAAAGGTTCAAGACATACAAAGCATGTGCTCTAACCAAAATGGGATTAAATTAGAAATCAATAGCAGAAAGATCTCTGGAAAATCTCAAAATATTTGAAAAGTAAATAACACCATTTCTAAATAACCTAGGGATCAAAGAGGAAATCAAGAAGAAAGTAGAGAATATTTTGAACTATGTGAAAATGAAAAAAAAAAAGGTATGTCAAAATCTGAATGCCACTAACAAGTACTTGGGGTAATTTATAGCATTAAGCCCCCATGTTAGAAAGGAAGAAAAGTCTCAAAGCAATTATCTCAGTTTCCATCTTAAGTGGAAAGAGTAAATTAAATCTAAAGTAAGCAGGAGAAAAGAAACAATAAAGACCAGAGCACAAATAGATGAAATAGGAAGAAACATAAAAGCAAGTTAGGAAAATTAATAAAACCAAAAGCTGGTTCTCTAAGAAAATCAATAAAAATTGACAAACCTCTAACCAGATTAACCAGGAAAAAAAACATATGACATAAATTATCAACATCAAGAATGAGAAAAGTTATATCACTACATTCTAACATACTAAAATAATAATAAAGGAATAGTATAAACAACTTTTTTCCAATAAATTTCACAACTTAGATGAAACAGATAAAATCCATACTAGACAAGCTACCAACATTCACTTAAGAAAAAATAGATAACCTAGAAAGTCCTACCTATTAAAGAAACTGAATCTATAGTTAAAAACCTTCCCACAAAGAAATTCCAAGCCCAAATGGCTTCACTGTCATATCCTAATAAATATTAAAAAAGAAATAATGCCAATTCTAGACAAATTATACTAGAAAACTGAAAAGGGTATATATCCCAACTCATTCTATGAAAGTAGCATTATCATGATAACAAAACCAGATAAAGACATTACACGAAAACGATATACTTTTATCTCTCATGAACATAGATGCAAAAATTTTAAACAAAATTTTAACAAATCACACCTAACAATATATGAAAAGAATAACACATCATGACCAAGTAGTAAAGGAGACTTCACATGCAAAAATCAATGAAATTGACCATATTAACAAAGTTTAAAAAAACTGAATAGAATTTCAATAGATGCAATAAAAATTACATTTGACAAAATCCAATATATATCCCTGAAAAAAACCTCTCAGTAAACTAAGAACAGACGGAAAGTTCTTCAATCCAAGAAAGAGTGTCTATGAAAATCTAGAGATAACATCATACATACTGGTGAAAGATTTATTTATTTTCTTTAAGATCAGGAAATTCTCACCACTTCTCGTCAACATTTACTAGAAGTTCCAGTCAGTGCAACCAGACAACAATAACAACAAAAAATTAAAGGTATAAAGATTGGGGGGAAAAAAGTAAAAATTTTCTTTACTTGCAGATAACATAATCTTATATGTAGAAAACCCTAGAGAATTTACACACACACAAAAAAAAAAAAAACACAAAAAATCTACTAGAATTAGTAAGCAAGTTTAGCAAGATTGGAGGATACAATGTTAATGTACAAAAATCAATTGCAAACCACAATGATGTATCACTTCATACCCACTAGGACAATCAAAAAGACAATAACAAGGATGCAAGGATGTGAAGAAATTAGAAAATTCACACACTGCTGGTAGGAATGTAAACTGGTATAGCCACTATGGAAAACATTTTTTGGCAGCTTCTCAAAAAGTTAAACAGAGTTACCATATGACCCAGCAATTACACTACTAGGTATATGCCTGAGAGAATTAAACACATACGTTCACACAAAAATCTTTTCAAGAATGTTCAAAATAACATTATTCATAGTAACTAAAAAGTAGAAACAATTCAAATGTTCACCATCTTATAAACAGATAAACAAAATATGGTATATCTATACGACAATATATTATTCAGCCATAAAAAGTAATGAATTGCTGATATATAGTAAATAAGAATGAAGCTTGAAAACATAGTAAGCAAAAGAAATCATTTGCAATAGACCATATATTATATAATTCTATTTATAGAAAATATCTATAATAGGCAAACTCATAGATAATAGACAGTAAATTAGTGGTTGCTTGGTTGGAGGAAGGGGAGGGACGGTAGATTAGGAGTGACTGGGAGGGGGAACAGACTGGGAGGGAGAACAGAGTTTCTTTCCAGAACAGAACAGTGGTAACAGTGTATAACACTGTAAATGTACTAAAAACCTATAAATTATACACTATAAAATGGTTAAAATAGTAATTTATGTTATTTGAATTTTATCTCAATAAAAAAGTCACCTAAAATTGCATTTCTATACATTAGCAACATACAATCAAAAATTGAGATTATGAAAATAATAACTATTCACAATAGCATCAAAAAATACTTAGGGATAAATTAATCAAAAGAAATACACAAAAAAATCCTTAGATATAAATTAATCTTTAGTGCAAAGCCTGTACATTAAAAGCTACAAAATACTGATAAGAGAAATTAAACAGACATAAATAAATGGAGAGAGTTACAATGTTCATGGATTGGAAGATTCAATATTGTCAAAATAATAATTCAACACAATCTCTATCAAAATCCCAGCAGGCTTTTTGCAGAAATTGAAAAGGTGATTCTAAAATTTATATGAAAACACAAAAGACCTAGAAAAGTCAAAACAATTTTGGAAAAGAATAACAAAGTTGAAGAGTGTATACTACTTAATTTCAAAACGTATTATAAAGCTACAGTAATGAGGACAGGCTAAACATGGAATAAAATAGATGGTTCAGAAATAAGCTCAAATATTTGTGGTCAATTTTTGACAAAAGTACCAAGCTAACTTAACAGAGAAAGAACAGTCTTTCCAACAAATGATGCTGGAACAACTGGATACCCACAGGCAAGAAGAAAAAATAAAGGAAGGAAAGGAAAAAAAGGAACATAGATGCTTATCTTATTCTATATATAAAAATTAACTCACAATGGATCACAGACCTAAATGTAAATCCTACAACTATTCAATTTCTAGATGAAAACATAGGAGAGAATCTTTGTGGCCTTGGGTTTGGCAAAAATATTTTAGCTCTATCACAAAAGCATGATCTATAAAAGAAAAAATTGGTAAACTGAATTTTATCAAACTTCAAAATATTTTCTCTTCAAAAAACATCACCAAGAAAATGAAAAGACAAGCCACAGACTGGGAGAAAATCTCAAATCACATTTGAGATCAAGTATTTCTATCTAGAATATATAAAGAAGAATAATAAGATAGCCAACCAAATTTTAAAATAGGCAAAATATTTTAAGGCATTTCACCAAAGAAGACATACAAATGCCTAATAAGTACTATGAATAGATGCTCAACATCATTGGTCATTAGAGAAAGACAAGTTAAAACACAATGAGATATCACTAAAGATCCTCTAGAAAGACTATAATTTAAAAGATCAACAATCCAAGCGTTGGTGAGAATGTGAAGAAACTGGAACTCTCATACCATACTGGCAGGGGGAAAAGCAGTATAGTCACCACTTTGAAAAACAGTTGGAGCCGGGCTCAGTGGCTCAGCCTGTAATCCCGCGCCTTTGGGAGGCTGAGGTGAGTGGATTGCCTGAGCCCGTGGGTTCGAGACCCGCCTGGGCAGCGAGACCTCACCTCTACAATAAATCAAAAAATCAGCCAGGCGTGGTAGCACATGCCTGTAATTCCGGCTACTCGGAAGGCTGAGGTGGAAGGATCGCCGGAGCCCAGCAGGTCGAGGCTGCGGTGGCTGGGAGCAGCCACTGCACTCCAGTCTGGGCGACAGAGTGAGACTCCAACTCCAAAAAAAAAAAAAAAGAAAAAAGGAAAACAGTTGGTAGTTTCTTCAAAAGATAAGTGTATATTGACCATATGACCCCATGATTCCAATTCTAAGTATCTATCCAACAGAAACTTTACAAAGCCTGAAAAAAGATATACATATGAAGATTCATAGCAGCATTATTTACAATAGCCAAAAAACTGGAAATAATCCATATTTCCAACAACTGTTGAATGGATAAACAAAATGTAGTAAATTCATACAATGGGATACAATTCAGCAACAAAAAGGCACAAACTACTGACATACTGGAGAGATGGATGCACTTCAAAAACATTATGCTAAGTGAAAGAACACAGGTAAGATGTGATTTATATGAAATTTCAACAAAAGGCAAAATTATAGTGACAGAAAGCAGATCAATGGCTGCCTGGGAGTAAATCTGCAAATGGGCATAAAGGAACTTTTAGAGAAAAGGGGAGTGTTCTAAAACTGGACTATGGTGATGGTTTCACAACTGTATATATTTACTAAAACTCATCAATCTGTATAATTACAATAGGTGAGCTTATGGAGCATTAATTATGCCTTGACAAGAGTGTTTTTGTTTCTGTTTTGGTTGAGAAAGAAGGATTTATTGAGAGGACAGAAAACTCCCACAGTGGGAGGGGACCCAAAGGGGGCTGCCCCAATAAGAATGTTTTTTAAAAAGTATACTATATACTCACCATTGTAGCCTTCAAGAACAGAATCAATAATAGGTCTTGCAGTTAAGTTATAAACATCAAGTTGTTTACTTTCTGGTCCGAAAACGGTATCAAAGGTAAATGTCTTTGGGGGTTCATTGGAAGAGTCAGTCTTGTGTACAGTGATAGTTCCCCTCATCTCATCCACACTGACAGCCTGTTTGTAGCACATTGATTTCTCTCTCTCATTGAGGGGTCGGCATCTAACAACCACCTTCACATTATCACAGCTTTCTGGTTTCTCTGATTTATTGATCTGTTGGAGACAATATTTACAAATAATGAAAAGACCATTTACTTATACCCTCAATAGATTAAATTTATAACTTGAAAAAGGCTACTGTCATCTCACTGACTTGCACACAATGAAGATTTCTTTTTTTATTTTATTTTATTTTATTTTATTTTATTTTATTTTATTTTATTGAGTTGGAGTCTCACTCTGTCACCCAGACCGGAGTGCAGTGGCCGCTCCTGGCCACCA